GTCGGAGAAAGTGGTAGAGAGATTGCCTGGCCAAAATTTCTTATACACATACATTTGTATAGGAGAAATACTTTATGTGCCAACATCATCATGCGATCACTAACTCTGACATCGGCGCTAGTGCTGCCTGAATTGGAACACACCGTACTAAAGGCACGGTTCGCGATCGATTTTGTGTGCTATTTTGTGCAAAAGTGAAACAGAAAGTGCGAATAGAAAGATAAATGAGGAAAAAAGCGAAAAGCATTGGACAATTCACTGAAACTCTTCTTTTGAGGTCGAACAGATAATCGGACCAAGACCGACTCACTCGCGCACGCCCATGAGTCTGCATCTCCAGCGCTGCGGAGAGGGAAGCACAAAAGAACGCTTTGTACGCGAGATGGTGCAAGGACACGTACGCTGCGAGTGGTAGGAAGGGCAGCGGTTGCAGCGGTCGAACGAAGGCATTAGTCTCTCAGTCGACAGTACTACCATAACTGTGACCAGGGATTCTATGAAGGAGTGGATTCTCTAATCTTATCGCGACCCGTACCTTTAAGTCAGCTCCCAACAACATGTCTTGCGAGGTCTTCATGCCTGACCTATGAGCACTTTGGACGACCTGTTGCAACATGCGTCTTGTCAGCACCTTTTCTATACGATGCGTCGAACAATTTGCAACAGCACACCCTAAACTGAACTGCGCTCCCACTTACCCTTCATCGTCTATTCGGAGCGCGTAAGTGTTCATTTCCATACGTCCCTCACCACTGTTCGCTTTTTAATTCCTGGTTGATAACTGTGTACGTAGAATTCGCCACTATTCATTATGAACATATCCCCATGAAGAGAATTGAGCGGCTCTGCATGTGACTCTACTTAGCCTGGCAAATCACAGCCTAAGTATCTCTAAATTCAGATCCGAATTCAACGTTCTCCGAAAGCATTCGGACGATTCCACCATGATAAGAGTCAAAAAACACTGAATGAACCGATGATTCCACTGCTGGCGTCCATGTTACAGAAGTTTTGACCAGCTCCACCCTGCGCGGTCCGCCCAGCCCTTCTCGTGACTCCTCCTCCACGTGGAAGGAGGCACCGCTATGCTTTAATTTCGCTACAACATCGCACATCGAGAAATTCTGCGAAAACGTTGATCAGTTCTTCGCAACACCAATGCCAAAGCCCGATCGTCGAACTATTACACAGCTGTTGGGAGTCATCAAAAAATTTTATCGTCTACGTACGCTATCGACTCTACAGCACGTCATTCTTAGACATACGACAAATTTCACATTTCTGGACAAAAGCAGAATATTTACAAACATCGCACTTTTTTCCATGGACCCAAAGTCGACTGTAAATAGGGCACATTCCTCGAGCAGGAGCGCTTCTTGCGCCCGCGAATAAAAGTTTTTCGGTGAGCGACTCATCATAATGAACAAAGGCAAAACCTGCTAAGGATCTTTAAATCACACTGCTCGCTGATCATATGGGCGGTGCTTGCGCCCCGCCCCTACCACTCTCCGGTGCTTCACTCTTCTGTATTTTGGGACCTCAACAACAACAATGTTTACCAATGAGTCCTGCAGGAACCTGGCCAAATCCACCCTCAGTAGTGCGCAATAGGTTCTTAAGCTTTTTGTTTTACTCCATTACTGATAGAACAACTCTCCACAACCGCATTTCTTTTCGAGTGCGCATAACCCAACATACTTCCATCGCCGAGTCTGCTTCCATCAGTCGATGGAGAGCTCAGTGATATGAACGAAAAAGAGTATAAGGATTTCGAAATTTCAATCCACATGGCTTTAAACTTTGCCTATGTTCGCACTTATCTTGAAAGAACGTGTATGCTATAAATGAGAGGTTCTTATCTGATTGGTCAGAGAGCCATGCATTGTGTCTGCGTATCGCTCGTCCCCTATGCTCTCTCATATCTGAATCTGTTCTCTCGCCTCGGCGCTGGAATATTCTAGAACTGCGTGCCTTCCAGAATCCCGAAGAGTCGCCCACTTTTCGTCCCTTCACGTTTTCTCTTAGTAAAACCGGATCGACTCACAAGCTGCGTCAGAGATCCGCTTTCTGATGTATTCTGACTGAGCAACGTGCTTCGTGACATATGAGGTGGAGCAAGGCTTTCGAAACGACGGGGCGGTTGGAACCTGGTCAGAATAAATCTCCCAACCTCGAGGCAGCAGCATAACTTACACAACAACAGAAATGCCATGTCCCAAAAATAAATGAACTTGGAATCTGGTAGTTGTGTATTTCGCTCATGATCATTTTTCTGCAGTGATCATCGTTCAATCGAACTCCATTGTCACCCATGAGTGGAACAGATTTTGCCCATTATCAAGCGATGACGGCCTCATCCAGGCCAGTCCAGTACGAAACATTTCACGCTTAAATTTGATGTGGTTATTCCATCCGCAAGTAAAATCAAATGTTAATGTAACGCCACGACAGGGAAAAAAAAAAGAAACACCGAAAACCTTGGGAATAAAGAACTTCTTTTAAGTTATGGTTGGTTTTCATTGTTCAAGTAAAATCGGACACTGACAGCCTGAGCACGTTACCACCCCTGTAATCCCTACTCAACATGCAAAAACACTTTGGAAACATCCCCACCATTTGAGACCAACTCCCTTGACGCGACATCTCTTGTGAACATTGTCAAACACAACAAAACCGAGCAGCAGACATTACAGTGATTTATGGCTGGCAATCATCACCTCATTTCACTGATCGATTCTATGCAACGCAGAGCTACTTTTGATGTCTGATGCCACCTTTATTCGATCAACCCGAAAATTTCCTGCTGCGCGCTAATCGAATTCAAATGATTTTTATGAAGTGTTTGATGCTTGACCTGTAACCCAGACCGAAAGAATGTCGCACGTTCAAGAATTCTTCATGAGTCATGGTCATACCTACTCTTTCAAAGAATTCACCTATCGTGAAAAAAACATCTACTAAGTTGAGTTATTAATAACTCGAGCCGTACTGTTATTGCTGCTCTATTGCGATATAATTTGAAATCACAGCCTAGCCCTTTGGCGTTTTGCTAGGGCCGTATGCTGAATGTTGGGAAGGGAATGGGTTCCCCGACAGTCAATGGACTACTTGAACTCGGTCAGTACGGTAGGAGAGTGATGACGAATTGGTGCAGCTAGGTCCGGCAGTTCCGCCAAAAGGGTTGGTTCTTACACCAGGACTTAAGCCCCGCCTCTGCCCCCCCCCTTTCCTTCACTCTCTCGCAGGTCCGTCTCTCTTTTAAGGCTTAGTCCTGAGGTAAGCATCAAATTGAGCGGTTTTAAGGACCGAGTTAAAGTAGTCCGTCGACCGTCGGGGACCCCATCCCCCCCAGCATTCAGCATACAGCCCCAGCAGAAACGCCAAACGAGCTAATTTGCTTACCTCTATTTTGTGGAGACCCTGATGATCTCTCATGTTAAGTTGAACCATCCATGCTTGCCTCTGATAGTAATGACGCCTCCATTTTGAGGTCTACTTCGCCATTGTCCACTTTACAAATTCCTCCTGGTGCCAATTTGCAGCAGTACTCCAGCTCGCATGGGTTCTCATAAACTTCTGAGTCTGCTGCCGTAATATCACGTAGTCCTTCTGGAAAATAGCAAGGAATCAGGGTGAATATCGCTTGAGGATTCCTCAACGGCACGTCGAGGATTCTCTGCCCGATCAGAGACGATCTCTCGCGCGGACATTCACACTCGCCATGCCGTGCCGTCTGTGCTCTCCGCGCGGATGTTCACTCTCGGCACTACTCTCGCATGGTAGAGAGCTATGGTCGAGGATTTCCTCGACCGTTATTTACCCTGCCGAGCAGAATGCTCCAGAGATCGTAGTTTTGAAGATGGTTAGTGAAAGGTATGGTTAGTATAAACCCCTCAACCTACTTTCTCTTGACGCGATGAAAAGGCTTTTATGTTCCTATCTTACCGAACCCACTTTTCTCCACGTAATACACCTTCACTCTATGTGTATAGAAAAGATAACGTTGTCTCAGCTAAAGACCGCATATATAAGTGCCACATCGCTACGACAGTGAACACGATTGTTAAAAGTGCGAGCGCTTTGATCGTCTTGAGCCGCACATTGGTGGAAGGATTTTGGAGGGCAATCTTAACCACATCACACAGTGCCCTGAAGAGTCTGATTAAAGGCATACTTCAGGATCACATTAGTGTGGCCCATGCGCACGAATGTGATTGTACTGGTGGGAAGTGGGCCGGCAGTAAAGAAAAAAGGAAAAGAATCCGTCAAAACGCTTAGGTTAAGGGCTCACTCACCTTCCTGATCGGCTGTGCTAAGGGAATGAGAGACTAAGCGCGGAGGAGAGTATGAGGCGAGAGAGCGCTACAGATGAGAGAGCGCCAGACAACAGCCTGATAAGAAAAAAAAAGTCTGCAGCTTGGGCAGCTTACTTTGCAAGGCCCAAGCGCTCTTATCGGTCGGTTTCCGTGCACGAGGACGCCACATCTGTGATTGTCCTCTAGGGTCTATACTAGTGACCGAAGAGAAGCGTTCACACGACTCTGCCTGGGTTGTGCCTTTAAACCAATGGCGTCCAATGTCGTTACCGCAACCGCTCTGCCCTTTACCCTGGATCAACTCCTAACTTTTACTCGTAACACCGGGGATATCCCTCCCCTTCTCAGAAAATGCAGCATGGGATATAGTAAGAATGGGAAATTGGTTAAAATTTAAGGAATTTTGGTAAATTTTTACTGTTTCATAGTGGGTATATACCCCCCGCTCGACGGCATTTTGGAGGAAAAAGTGGGCGGAGTTTGGTGGGTTGAGTGGTACCAGAATTAAATACTATAGAGAGGAATATGGTGGTCGAGGGTCGAAAAGGGGGTCGTACCAAGTCCACCTTGGGGGAGGGGGGTCGTAAAAAATTTTCAAAAAGTAACAACGATAGGACTGACCCTGCCTTCAACTAGCGTGTTCGCTGCCCTTGTGTTTACCCATGGTTCTTTTCCTTTCCTTGCCTAGGGGGCAAAACAGCTGAAGCATAGACTCACACTTTTCATGAATTCCGACACATCGTCAAAGTATCGCCGGTTAAACTCGTCAGTGTTGCGTGCAAAAGCGTGATATGATCTGTAAGTAAACACATTATCTCTTCAAAATGACACAAACATTCTGTTGCGAGGATTTGAAGAATCTGATTGACTCTGGGCGAAGTTCTTACCTGCATGAGTTTTTGCCTGTTGTCTCAGCAAATACGATGTACTCGTATCGCTTTTCCTCAGAAGGACCATACTTCACTAAGCACACTGAAGGGATTGAAAATTACATTTTATGTTAAGGTTATCAAACTTCTCACACCCTTAAAATATATTCAAAATCGTACTGTCTGTGTGGTACTTGTCAGTGTCAATTTGGAAGATATTGTCCTCCAGCGAAGTGATACTGCCATGCATCTGAAAAAATAGCGCTATTGATATAGGCGGAACACAAAAGAGTCCAAGACGAGTTACCTCGTGTAACTCGTTGCCTTCTGCGTCGTCTCTGTAATACATATTCAGTTCTGCTGTTCCTTGACGGTACCGCCCAACTGTAAACGTTTCGAGGATGTATTACAATTATACTCTAGCTTGGAAATACTTTTTTGGCTAGTTGGAAGAGCTCGATGGCAAATTTAAAGGCAAACGGTACGATAAATGGTCGCCGTAGATACTTTTTGCTTCAGAAAACCAGAAGTGTGTCGAGATCAGACCACACAAGCGACGACGGCCTCTAAGTAAATCATGGAAGAATACAACAACAGGCTATCATTTCATTGGCAGAAAACATTCATTTTTTAGAGGCCGTCTTCACTTGTGGTGTGTGGCCTGCAGTCAAAGCGTTTCTGGTATCTGAGCAGAGGCTACTGAAAGACAAAGATGGGAAGTAGTAGCATGGTGAAGAAAAAGCCAAGAGTAGCAAAGTGAAATTCCCGTTGTGCCGGATTGACTTCCGCTCTTGCGAAAAGTGAAGAACGCAAAATTTGCTTGGACGCCCAGTCCCAGTAGCTGGCACGATGCCAGCAAAATTTATGCTTTTGGTACGAAATCAGAGGCAACAAGAAGATACTGCGCCCTCAACCGTGCTTTCATAAGTCAACCACTTTGATAACAGCATCGTAATCCATCCACGCGCCTGTTATCATTTAGCCACGAGGGAGGGACACTCCAAGAGGACGACCGTGACCATAGATATGGCCTTGCAGGCTGGGTAAGGGTGAAATCCTTCATCGCCACGTCTGGATTTCGCATGCGCTAAGTCTCCTTTGACGCAACCCTTCGAACAGATGCTTCCCCTCTTCCCCTTTGAGAGGGGGCTGGCGCCAGTAAGAAATGCGGCTACAATCGCATTCGCCCTTATACAAACAGAGACATATGCACCATTACAAGCAAAGTGCCATGGACGAGGATTTGACGTTGAACAAACATGAAGTTGCGCAGTTAATTCGAAACGCGGAATACTTACAAGCAATCGCGCAAGGGCCCGCAAAGCACGCGTTTTCCACGATGGCAAGTGGGCGTCGCTCGCAAATCGGTACGCCCTACTTTCGCGAAGACGGTTTGACCCTGCCTAGCGCTTCAAAAGGTCGTTTTTTAGATTCATGTGGACCCTCTTACTTGACTTAAAGGCTAAAATAAGATTATTTCAAGCACCCAAGTAGGAATGACTGGTCAACCCTCCTGGGCACGGTGCTCTGGAGTATTCATAGTTCATTTCACATGGTTGCTCCTGTGCCACGTTGGGATCAATTGCTTTTCACTCACTGAACGTGCTTTTTATACGCAGAATTTGTATGATTAGAATTTTGTTAAGGAATCAGGTATGTGTCACTGGTGCGATATGAAGAAATTTAAGGAAATCGAACTATTGCAACGTCACGGTCCGTAGGTTTGGCAGTAGGCCGAATTTCTCGGCGGTGCCTGCCCCCCCCCCAACACACCAACGTTTTCGGCTGGCGATGTCCAGACTTTGCAAATCGTCGCGATTCGCTAGCGGTCGCGGTTCGCGTCGGGCCATGTGATCACGAAGTTGGTGTACGCACGCTGCCTGCAGATGCGAGCGAATCGCGCGATTTGGCAGGTCTGCAGCTCGGCTCGGTGGAGTGGCTAGTAATGCGACGGCGAGGGTTACCTATCGGTGGGCGGGGCGGCGAGAGGGGCACGGTTACGGCCCTGCTGAGGCTCTGGTACTTTTTGCTGCAAAAAAGCGCATCGTGTCGCACCTGAGGGCCCTGCCTGCATTCTCACCAAAATATTTCTTCTGTTTCGAGGTCGAAATAGTTGCAGGATTTGAAGGCGGTAGTTTGGGGGGGCGGCTTATATTAGAGCACAGTGCGGTTTGGATTTTGAAATGATTTAAATAACCTTGTACGGTGTTCGACTCATGTCAGCTGCTCTGTAGACGTGCGGATCAACTTAAAAGCCTAACGCCGTTCACTGAAGTCGTCTCAAATCAACCTACCTCTTACCTCGGCACCTCATTACTTCGACCTCCTCTACCTTTCACACTCATACTTCAGGCAGAGAAAGACATGAAGCGTAGAAGACAAGTAATTCCCCTTGGCTGCTTATCTATGAAATATTTGGGCGACCTTTGTAATGTCGGGAGATTCACGTGTAATGCTGAAGCAATAGTATGCGTTCTGGAAGCCTATCTAAGCCATTACCGCTTCACATCTATCTCAGTCGTTTAAGCAGTTGAGGGGGTTTATTGGGAATGACAATTAAAGTGAGCTGAGCTGGGGGCGTGCAGCACCAGTGTGAAAGATTATTCAAGCGATGTATGCAGATTAAATAGCTTGATGAGAACGTTCTGACTTCCTCGACAATAATATTAGTAGAGGTCTACCTTTCTGACAGACCGTACTCCACTATACCCCATCTAATTTGAACCATTTTCTGGGAAGTTGCAAGGGAGGTATTTCGAAATGGTGACTGACATGGTGGTTAATTTTTTCGCTGTCACGCCGTCCTCGATATATATTGCATTTGCCCAAAATTCCAGAATGGAGATTAGTTAAACAGTTCCCACTTTCAAGTCCAACGCATGCTGTCTTCTTCGAAGTTAATGTCATTTTTCCATTTGTAGATCGTGCATTTTCCAAGCTCATAATAGCTCCGTAAGTTTGTCGAATAACGTTTGGATTTCCATACATCTGAAAAATATTTGTCAACTATCTATAAAATTCAAGGTGTGTCTGTTGCAAATTTCTCATTTACTGGCATTGAATGTGATGTTGAAGATCTCCCAGTACTCTGGGTGATACACAATCCACAGGAATTTTTCAAAAATTTTCGTTACATTTTCATTATTTTATTTTCATTTTCAAAAGTGGAAAAACGCCAGCTGTAAAGGAACGCAAGGCGCGAGCCGGTTCCATGGGCAGCGCTACGCAAAGCGGTGAAACCTGTTAATTGGGGGCTAACGCATTTTTGGCTCCACCTCCAAGGTTCAGTCTGCCTCCGACTTTCTGCTCACAAGGGAAGGTCGTTCAGGGTGTGCCAAGCTTTTTCAAAATGGTTTCTTGCATGACATTGGGGCACATATGGGACCACAGAAGCATGGTTCATTTTTCCTGAACGGCCCTCTGAATACCAGAAATCCCTAGTTCGATTCCTCGTGGTGACAAATTTTTGCATTTCGAGTTGACGTTTCCAAAATTCGCGCAAAATGGAGTTAGCATGAATAATTAGTACCAAATTCATGATAACGTCAGTAACCCTTACAAATAGCCTCCATATCATGCAAAAGACCGTTTTGAAAAACCTTGGTACACCCTGAAAGAACTTCCTTGTCAGCGAATAGCCTTTGCGTATCTGCGAGCCACCCTTGCAACAAAGAGACAGTTCACGGCGTCAACTTGACGAAGTTAGCTATCGAAGAATCTCGTTAAAAATGAAGGGGCAAATAAGGAGCGCATTTTGCCTGCTTATTTCCCTTCACCTTTCGTTTATGAACACAATCCAAATTTGGGCAGACCTGCCTTCGCTCTGCATCTGACTTATAGGCTATACGGGTGCATGGGAACTGTAAGTGAACGAGGATCTCTTCTGACCAAATGCAGCACTTGATGGAACAGGGAAGGCGTTGATTGCATTTTTTTCAGACCGCTAGAACAATGCAAAATTCGCAAACGCTCTTACATGCGGCAGTGCCATATGAGGGTAAGCGGTGTTGCTGTGAAAATTGTCGAGTTGTCACAGAAAAAAACAGATTCAGCTCTGCAGCAGGGGAATGACTTTGTGATGAAATTACAGCTAATGTTCCTCTTCCATGGAGAAGAACCAATTTTTGAATGGGAACATAAACTCACTTGAGTCCAAGCCCCCTTCATCATCGTAATATTGTGAGGGATGCACTGTGGGCAGCCTCCATTAGAAGACGTCTTGTGCGAAGATTGCTTTGAAGGCGATCGATGATGCGAATGCGGGGATCTCATTTTGCTAAATTTGTTTTATTAAACAGCCGTCAATCCGAAGTCTCTTCTTGGCTCAACTTCTTGGAATATGAAGTGAAATCTTACTCTGTTGCATGGCTGTCTTAGGGATACCATACGATGCGATCTTCCCCCTCTTACAGCTGTGTCGTTAGGTCCCGCCATGTGTCGCGCGCGACAAGATTGCGCGGAAGCATTGCAACATTACTGCACATTTGTGTAACGTGAAGTCGCGCAGCTAAAGGCAATGATACGCAATGGCAGTGTGATAACGGGACCATGGCGAGCCGCCAACGAGAATTACTCGATATGTATAGTATATGGCTCCCTGGAGAGTTGGGAGGGGGCGTATCTGGTGAGAAAGTTCCAAGAAATTTGGAGTATTTACGAATATTCAGGAACTTCCGCTGCCCACCACGTTTAGTATGTCATCACCCCCTTCTCCCTAAAGTTGCGAAAACTTTGCGTGGGGGAGGAGGCACCACACGAGCACGTCGTGAGATGGTAACCGAGTTTTTCCACCGCGTGGTCCTGAGGTGGATCTAGAGGAGGGACTCCCTCATTTCTTAACAAGCACTGAGCCCTTGCTTTTATCTGCGGCACTTCTCAGTACATCAAAAATCTACACCTATTAGTGGTGAAAACGAACGAGGAAAACCAGGAGCGAGGAAAAAAAATAGCAAAACTCGCCTTTTCAAAGAGTCCATAGTCCTGAAAACACCTTTATCGATTGCCGTTTCCTTGTTTTCCGAGAGGACTTTCTTGAGCGCCCTTAAGCATAATTGTTTCACCTTGGTACCGCTGGATAATTGCAAGTAATGTCCATACCTAAGAGTTTCTCGCTCCTCACTTGTCAATTCACTTGCTTCTGTTGGTAGCTGAATTCCATACTTCTCCTTGAAATACTCTCTCAGGTGCTGATCGTTCGTTATGACGTCGTCATCGGACAAGCCTTGAACAAGAGGTTTTATATAGTGACTAGTGCGTAGTATTACTTATGAGATAAATAACCAGTAGAATGAATTTCGACGTACTCCGTCTTGGTGCACTTGGTTCGTGAGTTTTTACTCCTTTGGCTCGAGCTGTCAATACCTGGATTAGTAAAAGTAGGAAAACACCAAAAAACACTTTTTAAAGCCACTGTGGCAAAATCTCTCTCAAAAATAGCAGGTCTTAGTAGAACTGGTTTTCTCTCTTACTTAGGCTTCCCAGATTTTAGCGCTGTCCACGCAAATAGGAGGCGAATCTTGGGGAGAAAGCAGAAAGGATATCTCTGGGGTTGGTCAAAGAACACTCGCAATCAGAGTGGTAACCAAACAGGGAGCTATTCATATGTGAAGTTTCCTGTCTAAGTATTGGCACTTTTGGCAGGAAAAGGGATTTTCCGCAAGAGAGACTGGCCAAGTTGATGTTTTTCTTTTACTTCCGAGCAAGGCGCACTTTTTGTAAAATAAATAAATATATATTAATTGCCAACCAACCCGTCCTCCAACGGTGTTATCATTCCCAAGTGTTTCAGTTTTTCCGAAAGACGACTGGACCTGCTTCAGTTGCTCATTTATTATGTCTTGTTGTTGTTTCTGCATGAGAAGCTGAAAAGATGCAAAATTTCAACGAAATCAAGACGATAGAAGGTAGGATGAGCCTCCTCCAAGAGTTCCTTTATCGATAGACCGTATTTGGCTCTCCAGGCGAGAGGGTCGTATTGGGACGAATTTGAAGAGTGCAATATATTCGGAAAGAGAGGACTTAGTTGAAAGATAATGGATTTTTGATGAAGACATATAAGGTATCCTTAGGATTTTTTGGAAAATTTTCAAGATAATTTACGGAAGTTTCAGGAAAGTTTCTATGTTATACTACGTCCTTTCACCCCGCCTTTTGTCCCCTCTCCACCCCACACCACGGAGATTCAGGTATAGCTTTCAGGCGATATATGCGAGGATGTGAGTAAGACTCGAAGGCTGTGTTGGGATCTGTAATCCTAGTCAGGGGAAGGCAGTCATTTTTGTTGGAATCTCGACACTTGCCTCACCCTAGCAGTCGCTATGTCGCTTATTTGCCAATTTCAAAGGCAAACCACCCAATTAACTTAGGTGGATTAATCCCTTGGGTAGGTAAAATATGTAGAGGTGTTCACAAAGGTAACAGATGTACTTCCTTTGCAGTTTAAAGGCAACGGCAAAGACACTGGAAGTTCACTTCGTCTTAAAAACACCTTTGCGCGAACCCTCCTTTAGCAGCCGGCTCCATTCTTCCCTGATGCTTTCGCGTCAAGTAATCGGTTTTTCTCCTCGAACTGCAGTGTATCTTAATCCTCTGATGTTTATCTGCCTCACAGAATCCTGCACTTCCGGAAAAAATGTTTTTATTACAGGTGTAGAGCATTTGTGTGAGCAGTTGCCTCCATTTTCCGTCCCCAGCGGACCGCTTCGTACCACTACTTTCATATTCAAGCGGAATTAGCGCACCAATTTTATCGTCTGCTGTGCCTTTAAATCATAGAGATGTGAATTGCAAACTTTCGAAAATTGGAAATTCAGATGACTTTGCATGTTTTGCCAGTTTGATTAAGGTCAAAAATGTCCAGAAAACGCAACCTTGAAGGGTTGAGCGACACATGCCGTGAAATCGGATCGCGAGCTTTTTTCTATTAGTGAAGAAAACGTACCGCAGCTCCTGCTTGATGATCAATCATTGACTGTTGGTAACGTCGTTGTTGATCGAGATATTCCAGTTGCTTCGCATTGTAGCGGGTTAATTCAGACTGATGGCGTGCAAGTTGCTGAGATAACGAAGACATGGCGTTTCTGGTTAAGTAACGTACCAATCAAACTTACAGCTAAATACTGCTGATTACGTAAAGCGTTTATCGCTTCAGGTGTGCCATTTTCGCCACTGAGCAGCAGCGGCAAGGCTGGCAGATTCATTCCTGTCTGCGACATTCCACTCCCCATTCCGCTTCCCATTCCGCTTCCCATTCCGCTTCCTAGTGCGTTTCCCATTCCACTGCTTCCCATGAATTGACTAGAACCGGACGACTGCTAAATCAAAATAAAATCAACATTATTAAGAGAACTTCTATATAAGAAATGGTGTAGTGTCAAGTGGCATTGCTTACCACGCGAGCGATCACAGGGTCAAATCCTGGACTGCACACCGTTTAAGTCAATCAAGCCCACCACCCCTCCGATATCGTTGAGTTGGCACCGAATTCATTTGAAAGGATAAACTCACTGACATTTCATCAGTGGACCCCGCATATTATCATAAAGGTCAAATCTTGTCAAAATAGCACCACGATCCTGAATGGAAGAGGAGTGCGCGGCGCATCTTGAAAAGGGACTGATCAGTACCAAATAATTGGTTACGTGGCACGGTTAATGCAGCGGGGCGATTATTGCAGCATGTGCACCACGAGCGCGCCAGAGGTGCTTCACGCTCTTCAAATGCTTTACCGCGCGCGGTAAAGTATGTGACCTCTTGACTCGTAACCGATAAGCAAGAGCAATTAAACTCGCCCACGAATTTGGATTTTTAAGTTCGTTAGTCAGCTGTTTCAGAGCCGATGACCAATTTTGAAGCTGCTTAACCCTTTCTCCAAAGCGCCGATTAAGCTCCTAGCAAGTTTTCTTTAAACCGAATGAGCTACTCATGTGCTTCTGCCCTCACCATTTGAGGGGTGCAAGAGCTTGGGATCTTATGAATGTCCAATTGGTTGGTTGCTAAATGTCCTACCCATGCGACTCCAACTATACAGAGTAGCACCTGATTGTGAGCCGTTTTCGACTCACCAATGACCATCGGTTAGAAGTACTCAAGTTGGGTTTTTGCCCTCTTGCAAGACTGAGGCCAATTCCCTTGAGATGAACTGAGGCTAGTGTTCTCAAATCTTACTTGCATATTCGGGAGGTACGATTGAGCTTGTGACGGGTAGATTCCTGTATTTTGACCACCTGCTTGCACCATTTGCGGTATAGCGTTGTAATCCTGCGCGACTTGCATTGCTGAAATACGAGCACTGGTATAACAGCCGTGATAATGAAAAAAATCTAAAGATAGGATATGAAACTCACGAGAATAGTTCTCGAGGGTCGGTTGGAGTGGTGAAGCAGGTGCGCGTCGAACCTTGAACAAATTACTCGGTGTAAAAACGAACTCACACAAAATTCGAGGTTTGAACCAGTGCTTGAAGGTTCAACATACTGCGGGGCGGTTACTCAGCTCAGTAGGAATTGAGGCTCGAAATAAAAGCAGGTGGCACGATAAGTTGTCCGTTGGAGAACGGGCAAATGTGCCTACATATTGGAAGTAAAAGTTGGGGCGCGCGAGAGCCAAAGATGGCACGCGGCTGAGGGGTGAGCCCGTGCCAGTAGCAAAGCCTTACCCGCTCCTTCGATCAGCTCATCCCCTCAACTAGTCCGGAAACTATAAACTTATCTAGCAAGAGTTTAAAGTAAACTCAATGCACGCACTATACCAATTGTAACCATGCGCAAAAAAACTATGATGGCTTCTCGAAGGCATTAGGCAGTAGTAGCAGGACGTGGGTGAAAGGCTTATATACTAAACCAGGTTTGCTCCGCCCGCTATCGCGCGCATCACAGGGTAGGGAGGAACCACGGAATAGCAGCATGACGTACTCCATTAACCACCTCACTATTGAATGTGTTATACCTCCTTATACCCCTTCTCTCCGGCGCATGGCAGCACCATGTTCTCCCTCCCTTTCTCTCCCCTCCCTCTACCGCCCGCCGACTCCGGCTGCCCGGCAGCACCATGTAGAATGAGGCTGAGTGTGCTCGTTCGGTGTTTTTGTAGCCATTGTGGGTGTTATCACAATCACCACATCAGGTTAGAATAATACGTCAACATGAATATAGACCTTACTCTTAAAAACGGTCGTTCTCTCTCAGTCTCTCCTCCCCACCTCCCCCCTCCTTATACCCTCCTCTCCGGCGCATGACAGCGCCATGTTCTCCCTCCCTTTCTCCTCTCCCCTTCCCTCCCTCTTTCTCTCTCTCCCCTCCCTTCCAGCCTCCCCTTTCTTGCCCCCTTCCCTCTACCCCTCTCCCCTCCCCCCCTCCCCCCCCTCATCCGGCTGCCACGGCAGCACCATGTAGAATGAGACTGAGTGTGCTCGATCGGTGTTTATATAGCCGCTGTGGGTGTTATCATGATCATGACATCAACATCACGAAGTGTTGCCCTTCGTACTCCCTGGTTTTGTGAGCGGTTGGTCCGGACGGACAGAACGACACACACACCGACAAACCGACACACCAAAGTTCTGGTTTATATAATGAAGTGATCTTAATCGAGCTACTGCTTCCAGAGAAAAAGGCGGAGGGATCAATTGAGAATGCTTTGAATAAGGTCCTAATGTCCCCCTTTTCGCAGTCATTTTTGAACAATGTGCGCGTTTACGGTAAAGAGATATAGAGCCCGGAAAGAGAGATAGGTTTTGAGGGAACGATAGAACAAAGGGATGAGCGAGACGCAGACACCGATGCATTGGTCATTCACACATTTTCCAGGTGGGCTTAAAGACGTCTTCAGGTATGCGTCATAAACATATAGCGTCCTTGTCATGCTTATCAAGTAGCGAACACGACAAAATCTTCGCACTTATGGACCGATTCACCAGAATATCAGAGAGGGATGTGTACTGGCTGGTCGAGAAAGGCACCTTCGAACTGGTCAATCCACTTCAAACCCTCATAACAACAGTAAGATTCTTAACATGATGCTCACCTCTGCTGCTTTCTTTTCTTGTCGATCGATTTCAGGAAACATCGACTTGACAAAAGCACCCGCGAGATTGACAGCTAATCGATCAACCACTAAAAAGTACGGAGAAATCACTATTATTTGACATGCCATTTTATCCGTAAATCATTGGAAATTTCTTATTCTCCCGTTACGGATGGTCTTCTCCATCTCCACATTATTAGTTTTTCTTCATTAGCAGTCACCATCTATTAAGGGCAGTGATCACGTTGATAAAGAGCGGTGGAGTTCTGATGATGACGTTGAACGTCACTGGTGGAATTCACTCCTAACACAATTCCACCAATGACGTTCAGACGTCAAAAAACTACAACGCTCTCCAGCGATCGTGATACTGACTTTAACAAATCAATAAATTCTTCAATATTAGCATTCACGTTGCTTTCGATTTTCGTGTCGAGATAGTTTAGAAAAAGAGTTTTAGAAAGTCAAATAAGCCAAACAAAAAGTAAAAAGACTCCCACAACGGTACATTATTCACGCGTTGTCCGAAATTTATCACAACAGTTAAATGCTCACTTTTTTCACCCGTCGATGTGGTTGTTTCCTCTTCCTCACTGCTGCTTTTGTGTTTCTTGGTAGATGCACAGAGAAACAACGTAAAGAGCACAATTCTAGTCAAGGGTGACATTCTAGCAGACTAGCCTTCCGCCTTCTGAATAATAGGATGCACAATCGCTAGATCATAAAGAAGTCTAGAACAAGCAATAAGAAATACAGCAGTAATTATGATGATGATGAATGGTGTTTTGGAAGCTGAGATCATTTGAGAGTGAAAATGAAAGAAGGTTATGTCAGTAAAAAAATCAACATAAAATCAATATTTTATTTATTTATTTACTCCACGCTTGGGTACGCTAATTCTAGCTTACATAAAACCAAGAAACTCAGTGAAGACATAACAGAGTGAACCAATATGTCGAAAATCCTGATTCAGAAACACAAGACAGATAACAATAAGCTCATACAAGAATTGTAAACGGCAACGCAAGTTCACTAGGTTCTCCACAGCTTCATTCCGGACTTATTCAGGCAATTATGGTGAAAAAAAAGCAGCCCTTACTTTTTAGATCGTATATGGTATGAATACGTGATGATATGTAGCTGAGAGTAAGGATGATGTAATAAGGAGCTGCGCAGATTGTTCGTGCCAAGTGGCGAAAATTCTCACACACAGTCAGACAACAGATTATTTTTTATTCATTTACTTATTTTAAATACTTGGGCCTGTTTACACTTTTTTTTATTGGTCCGAAAAGTGAAGCAGCTAACTGATACTAATAGTACGAGACCTTTCAAAAACACACACTCTCACACCTGCAATTTATTGCAGAAATCGCATTACATTGAAATGCCGCAGCCATTCGAATGGAAGTAGAGTGCGTGGCGCGCCACAAGAAGTGCTAACATCGATTGCTTCGCCTTAACCTTTATGTGGTATGAAATAAGCTTTGCTGGTGATGATATTAGGTCAAAAAGCAGCATGTGAAGTGGAGTAGAAGGTTTCAGCTGTAGTAATCAGTTCAGAGCTTGTTTTTTTGCAAAAATGTCACCGATCTACCCTTTAGCACCTATTCTAATATTGCGAGAATTTTTGAGAAACCAACTGATTGTTTATTACTTCTGGAACATTATTTCACGCGAGGAATATTGACGAGAGAATTCAAAGCTTAGTTCTATGACAAATATCGTACGAGCAAACCGCAGAGAGAGGGGATCGAACTTATGCACAGCTGTTCACTGTGTTGATCTCCAACCGTTACTTATTTCCCGAGGTCTCGATTCAGCTTGTTCCTTTCCAGAACGTTTATTTTCCACTTCAGTTTTTTAATGACAATTTCTAGTAGCCTCTGGCTCATATTCGAGCCATAAGAGACTGAGCCCGCACATCTGCATTGGGTGGCATAGACGTTGATTGAGAGGTGGTGGAAAGGAAGATTTTATGATTCTTCTTCAATTCAAGAACAGAACGCAATTTCCTAATATCTGATTGCGCTTGGATATTGAATTAAATTTAAGTTTTGAGCACAATTAGGTCTTCAACTTTAGATTCTAGAAAGTATAAAAATTTAAATTCTCTATTAAAATCACTACAACGACAGATAACAACATCATATGGAGTGAAGTCCTAAAATCAGATTTTATTTTGATCCGTGCTCGTGTAACAAAGGAGCTAAGTGCAAGGAAGGAATAGTCGATGATGAGATTACGTTCAAAGATAAAGGTCAGATTGAATTCGTGTTGCTATCACACATTATGCGAAGGGAAACGGCGTCGAGAGCGAAAAGGGGGGCACTCATGGCGGCCCTATGTGACTATGATGTCTGACCCCTTTCTCGCAATGCAACCGTCTCTGGAATATTCCAAATCCAAATTATTATTGCCTTGAGGAAGTAGTCACCACCTCGAAGCAAGGCATATCACTTTCACATCATAGACTGACTTTTCTCAATCCAAAATACCATCACATAAGAAACTCCCGTTGTAAACGTTGTAAGGGATTCTTAGCAGAACCTGAAGGCGGACGAGATCAGGAGGACGTTGTCTAACAAAGGAAAGTGCACTTGAGAACCACCAACGGCGATTAAGACAGGGATTACACCATCAATGAGAGAAAACATGTACAACAGATACAGGACATCGAGTGCTAGGTCGTAGCGATCCTTTTTAGCCCCGAACTGACATTGAGACTTGCGACGGAGACAACAGATCTCTCGCTTAGCCCATAATTCAAAAGCCGTTACCAGGACGCTCTGAAGGCTCACATGATGTGATACGGTCGGCTTGTCCTGCTTGAAAAGATGATGAATGGCACTTTGTAAAGAATGTCCCAGGAGTGATGTGATAACACCCTGATATATCACCAGGTCTCTTCTGAGGCCTTCACCGACTCAAGAAAAGTACTGTGAAATCCCCCTAGAGAAAATCGTGACTGATAAGTTGAATTTTATACCAGCAAATGAATTTCACGTTGAACATAAAAAATATCCAAATCTCTCGGCACTGATCAATCCGTTTTCGGAATGCGCCACGCATCTTACCTCCATTCAGGATCGCAGTGGCAGCCGAATGCGGTATTTGATTGCAGCCAATACAGTGACTGGCGAAACCAGCCAATATACAACCCAGTGCTTTTTATCCTCTCAGACAAGTCTGGTACCAATTAACCGATCCCGAGTGGGATGGAAGGCTTGGTTGGCTGGGCGGAACACGATCCAAGATTTGTCTCCCGAACCGTTCGCGTGGAGAGGCGCCACTACCCCAGGCACACTCTCTGTTTCTGTGTTTCAGAGACATTAAAAACCACTAATTTGATATCCCAGTCTACGCAATTTGGAAGCTTCTATCTCCAGTTAAAGCCTATCAGGAACTATTCGGCATTCATGCTTCCCTCAGGGTGAACAACGGTCGAGGAGGTTCCTCGACCATGGCTCTGAGCTGTGCGAGAGTAGTGCCGAGAGTGAACGTACGCGCGGAGAGCACAGACGGCTCGCGCATGGCGAGTGTGAATGTCCGCGCGGAGAACGTAACTGATCAGGCGAAAATCCTCGACGTGCCGTTGAGGAATCCTCGACCAATATTCACTCTGTTTTCCACTGCTTTCAGGTGAGATTGGTTCAACTATCGCCCATTCCCACCTTTTTATTTGCTTTTGTAGGTCAGGGATTGTCACCGAATGTGGCTTTAAGCACTTGCGAAAATCTCAAAAACTGTTACTTGCACGTTTATTTTCATTAAAAATAGTACATATGCGAAACAAGGACAAGATGTGCAAGGTGGGGATTTCACATTTCATGGTAAGGCTATATCATACATACATGAAAGCTCAAATTTTACAACCCTACCAGACAAACTACTTCAAATAAATCCCCAACTAGACGAGAAAAAAATCGAACATTATATACGTGCTCTATTACAACAGTGACCCGGTGGCATCTAAGAGGAGATGAAGTCATGAACGACGATTGTCCGTCCAAAAGGACCGAAAAAGAGCTTTGGAAATCAACCACCATTAGAAAATCATCATGATCGTATCACATATCAAACATTGTGATTAGTATGTGATACGAAATCGTAAGAGCGAATCATGCTACAGCAGCTACACAAATTACTACAGTATCCCGAAAATCCCCCGAACAATAACATGCACAGTCAGCTTATTAGTAATTAGTGAAGAAATGTGGAATTAGTTCAGGAATTATCAAAACATCCGCCATGACGACATAGACAGATATATAAAATACAAAATTCAATAATAATTGAGCATAGCATGCTAAAGATCAGAGACAAGATAATCAGACATGTTTCGATGGATAATCAGGGGCCATAAGGCCACCAAGTTTTTCCGCATTGTACAGATTCTCATGTGGACCGTCGTCAATCATCCCTGGGCTTGTTGATTTAGTCGAATGGCTGTGCCCTTGGTTATTGTAGGACATCTGAAAATAGGGTTCTATTCAGACAGGAAATGAAACAATCACTCCGAACAGGGCCATTTACCGATGTTTTCCCTGTGGACACGAATTTGTTCTCTAAGATATGTTCATTGAATGAAGCATTTGCCGCTGATCAATCCCTTTTGGGATGCGCCACACATTCCATCTCCATTCAAAACCGTTATCGGCATTTGAAAGCGTTATGACATGTGCAGTGACTCGGTTGTGGGTGGGGGGCAATGCACAAATGAGTATTCATATCTGTATGTCAAGCCTGATCCCAATTAAATGATTGAGTGGGATGGAGAGGTGGGATGGTTGGTGGGGTTGGACAGCGTTCGATTTGGTCCATGGACCGTGCCAGTGATAAGTCCCGACAAAAATCCTAGATTACAGTGATACTAACCGAGAATATGGAGCGCAGATGAAGGCGCAGAAACTGTTACGCTCATAGGATTTGTGATAAACCGAATCTCATCCAACCCCCATCCATCTGGGGCCGTTTACAGTAGTAGCGTCAATTTTAACACGTTGACGACAGCATGACGCGCATGCGCGTCAGATTTTCACCCGGATGGGGCTCGTTTTTATCGGTTTATTTGGCATTTTCATATTTCAAAACTGTCTGGATGCATCATCTTATCCGGAAAACTGTGCACCAATTACCAGTGGTGGAATTATTGAAGGAGTAACGTCTATTTTGAAAATAATAAACAAAAAGTTGTCCGAGATGCGCGCACAACGGGCTGTCGTCAACGTGTTAATGATCCCAGATCCAAAAATGGTACACTTAGGCCTTACCCAGTTATTGTAAAGGCTGGATACGTCTACAAGCTCTCTAAATCTATGTCGAACACATAGAGCAGGGATTCGCTGTACTTACTTCCTGAACTCACTGACCAAGTTAACGTGGTCAAATGCGTTTGCGGGTATTGGTTTCCAGAAAGTACAAAAACACCATACCTGTTCGAGGTAGTCAGTAAACAACTTCGATGTGAGTTCACGAGCAACTATGGCACCAGCGTGTCCTTCAATGAAGCGCAACAACAGAATGCCATCTGAAAACGTTTAACTCTTTCCAAAGCATAATTATATACTGGTTAATAATTATATACTACAAGCATAATTATATACTACAAGCTGGACCCTTACATCTTCATTTCAATAACACATTATTTTGTTCCATTTAAATTTATGACGTAATGATTCAATTCTTATTCTGTACTTACCAAGAAGATCATTCAATAAAAAGAGCGACTTCTTGAAACTTTCTTGCCTGTCATAGGGGTGCATGGAGAACAAGAACAAGGCTTTTTTTCTGAGCGGTCCTCAAGTGCCAAAATAAAAGAGAGAAAAAATTCCGGGCGAAAGACAATATTTACAGTTTTAGATTGTCGAGGGGGATTTCAATAATGATAGGATTTCAAAAATAACGCAATTTCTGACAGGAAACGTGAACTTGAAAACGCTAAGGGTGGTTCATAAAACGATAGGATATTCCCTTCTGACATGGCTAATGCTGTCTCTTGGTGATAATAACAATAATAATGTGGTGGTTTGGGGGAGCGCTTTGTTATTTAATTATAACCAAATTTTTGTTTTAAGAAAAGTCTTCATTATTGTTGTCAAATGATTCCAAAATTAATTCCTTATCCATGAGCAGGACGCTCCATACAAAATAGGTTTTTACCCAAGCTGGCACCAGATAGCGTCTGCGCCCGAGAGGAATATCAATTTTTTGTGACAGTGAAAACTACACAAAAGAAAGAAACTGCAGGAGGAGGTATAATAAAATGTAATAGATAAAGCGCTGAAAATGTGCAGACCTAAATCGATGACCTAAGGAACAAAAATGGAGACAACCGCAATTATGGCCAAGCGTACGGGAACAGACACGTACTGTGAAAATAGAAAATGAATGAGTGAATGAGAATGAGTGAGCGAAAAGGGGAGAAGGACCAATAGACAAAAGGACCATAACCAGATCAGCTGGTGGACTATCTGGGAAGGGGGGAAAGTGGGCAAAAGAGCAGACTAACTGAGTGAAGAACATCACAAATGTGGACCTAGAGAGAAAAAGATAATGACTGAGCAAGGCAAAAACGTCGACTGGAGGTCAGTGATAAGATCTAAAAAAAAGCCGAAAGACGGACAGAGAAAAAGGAAAACGATGAAGGCTAAACAAAGGACACGAAAATCCTTCTTCATGACCTTTCAACACTATCACGGCAAAATTTGGTCAGGTTCGATTACTGGTGATTATTGATGAAAAAACAAACAAAGTGCATACCTGGGCGAAGTGCAGTATGGGTGAAACGACGCATGATGTGCTGGTGGCGGAAGCCGTCTGTTGTGTCCTCACCAGTACGGCTTGGTCCAGACAGCCACGTCTTGGTCGACTTCTCCCGGAATGACGTCAAAACCAACTGCAGGAAGCAGTAAAAGAAATTGATTGCCGTCGATATAGCGACAAGTAAGAACCAGAACCTAAAGGACCGATTTGAGCCAATTTTTCAGCAACAGGCGTAACCAGGAATTTCCTTCCACCCACCAGATGAAGAGGTAAATTTTTTCGTTAAACATATTAATCATTAATACACATTGTACGGTGTATTTGTGAGTGTTAGCCAGACGGCGAATTTTGAAATCACACATGGTTACACGTGGAAACACTCCGGAATCCAACCATTCACGTCCATTCCAAAGATCGCGGAACGTCTGAAAACATGGAACCGGATGACGTTCACTAAACTGTTATAACTACACTAGAAGTCAAGATATTATTACGCTAGAAACTGAATCGATAAAATGCCCTCTGTATTTTACCTCATAAAACACGTCGGAACTTTTGAGAGAGGCATGAATGCTCTCTTGCAAAACAAGATTTCGTTAATGGTTTGTCGAAAACCTCCTGACCTAGAGCCGCTCCAGTTCCCTGTTCATACTTAGATGCCTATGGACCCTAGAAAGGGGATCAGCTCTGTGCTGTAGGAGGTCGGGTACCCCACAGGACACCTGTCGCGCGGCAAGAAGGCAGAGTCAGCGGACGAGTCGCAGCGCGTGATGTGCGATGTAGGACGTACAATGGTACATTCTATTTAACTTGACGCGAAATCACTACAGTACGCGCGCGACTCGTCCGCTGACTCGCCTTCTTGTCCCGCGACGGGCCTCCTGTCGGGCACCCGTAATAGTCTGTAGAACGGAGTGTCGCTGTTGTTTCTGGTGGTCCCACCATTCCCAAGACTAGTATCGAACTTCGAAGTTCAAGGAACTGGATACTACATCAGTCAAGCCTAGTCACCATGACAGCATGAGACAAAAATAGCTGATTGAAGAAGGGTTCCACGATTAGGTCGGAGGTCGAAGAAAGGAATATGCCTAGTAGAAAAGTGAGGGTCCAGAATTTTCGGCCATCCCCTCCCTTCCATACTTCTACTTCAACAACACAGCGGAGACCAGCTCAATGAACCTAATGACTCCAATGTTTTGAAGTGACTATTGAGAATCGTGGAATGAATGGCGGCGTTGAGAGCAGCACTTGATTGACCGCATCCACCGCTGCAGCGGCAGCATTGGGCGGCTCCCTATTGAAGGCATTTGGCGCCCATCCCTTCTTGAATTTAAGGTACAATCTACGGAGTTTCTTTGTCCCTTCATTTTTTGTAAAGCATTAACTTGAACCAATTCAATCCAATCAAGTTGAAATGAAATGCAGCGCTGGTCATTTCAAGCCAATATTTGAAAAACTCAAATTGGTATAAATGTTTGATGAGCACATCGACGTTTACAATTGGTAGATTTTGTATGTGTAACCATATCGTTGCTTACCTGGAAGCCCCAGAAGGTGTAGTCACTACCCAGGAAGCTATTCAGAATATAAAACTGCGTGAAAATATTGACTAAATAGAGAAATTTGACGAAAAGGTACAGCATGGAGACGTACGAGCCGAGCCCACGGCCAAATCTAAAACAAAACGACATCATATATTGGCGGAAAACACTATAAAATTACAAGTATATAAGATAACAAAAAAAGATAGAAAAAGATCGATAAAGAGTATAGAAGAGTGAGGATGAACTAGAAAGCGAGTTGAACAGTCCGATACTGGAAATTAGCGTATCATCACGTAAACTAAGACTATGTTATCAATAAAACACACACGTGTGGTACCAGACCATGGGTTTACTTTATTGATGATCAGTTGGCGCATAAAACATCTGATTAAATAGCGATTACAACATACGGAAAATATCAGCTAATTTTACCTGAACGAAACAGATCGTTAGGCTTGTACGCCGTTGTCATTCTGAACATTCCAGGCACTTCATTACGAGGCAGCTCATGCATAGTGTCCTTACTATGCTCGATCCCTCCAGTAATTGCTCCGACAATTACGGCTAGCTACATCTATAGAGCGGGTATCTCAACGTCGATTCCTGAATATGCGATTTTTCACTGCATTCGGGGAGCCTGGCACAGACTTACAGCGAATCGCAAGAACACAACGGAATCACAGCGCGATGGATGAGGCAACAATATAATCATGATTCTACGAGCGTGAAACACTCTCGACCACTCGCGACCGTTTAACATGACAAACCTATACCAGAGAAAGGACATTCAAGGCAGTGAAACAGACTATTATTGACAACAGTAATTATATGCATAAATGATAGGGCTCGAAGGCGGAAGACCCACAGAAAATGTTTAATTGTTCCTGAACGGCTTCTGAAAATACATAAAAAGAAGAGGAGTCCTAAGTTCATCAACTAAATATTTAGCGGAACAAATTTAAATAGCATTCGGAAGAAATAGTTGACGTGTCCGCAAAAATATACTCGAAAAATTAGAACACTGGATTGAAGGGGGTTGAGATGTCTGAAGTGTTCAATAGTTAGGATTTACTAATCCAGATATGTGCCTGAGGAGTGGATAGTAATTATGAGCGAGATTTTGGCAGATCAACTCGAAATAGTCAAAAATATTGTAATAACTACGAAGAAGGATCGAAATACAGAGACCATGCGCTTTTCTGGGGTTATGCGTGATTGTTGCCGATGTTCAAAGGAGATATTGACAGGATGGTCTGTGAACTTAGCTTCCGAATCTGCGGCCACTATAACGATCATGCTAGAAAAGGACAAGTTTTCAATATTAATCTGTCACGTCTCTTGAATTAGCGCTTCCTGGTAAGTGGATTTGTCGAAGCAGCTCTGATTTGGAAAATTATAGAAAACTCGTAAAGTGAAGAACCATAGAGAATTTCTTATAGTGGGTTTTTGTTACAAATATAAATTATCTTCTTCATTCTTTGTGGTTGTCGATTTGTTATGTGTTTTTTTATTTATCTTACTAAAATTTTCTAATATTAGTCTTTTATATTTATCTTTTTTTTTTTTTGTTGTTTTGTTTTGTTTGTTCTTGTGTTGGTGTGCTAGCTCTTCGGCTTTATATATTTTTTACAGAAAGGCATGTTGGGTGGGTGGTGGTGGTGTGTTGTTGTGTGTGGTGGTGATGGGGGTGGTTGGGGGTGGGTGGTGGGGGTTGTGGCTTGTGGGGGGTGCGTGTTGGGTGAGTGTTTGTGGTGGGTTGGGGTGGTGGGGGGATTTGTGGGTTGGTCAGATTTATTTGTTTATTCTTCGAATCAAGCAATATCTGGACAGGGGGACCAGGTCATACTGCCATGAACACCTGTTCAGACCAGATTGGCCTTTCTGGTTGTTTTTTGACGACCTTACTAAGCACATGAAAACAATGACGTGGGTATCAACTGCCCCTCCCCTTCCCCAATAACGCAATTTCGGACAAACGTCAAACGCCTCTACGATTTCTGATAAAGTTCGCCTGGCGCAACTGAAGAGCTTGACCAAAGACAACTACCGAACCGTGCTCAGTTTCGACGGCTCTACTAAATATTCCGTACTGGCTAATTTTTGCAAAAAAAAAGCTACAAATCTCCGAGAACCAAACGCCGTTGGATGTGCGGGCTAGCTATGATAAATCGAAGCGTAGTGGAGAAAAGCTTGCAACAAAAACTGACCACTTTGTTGATGAAGAGTCTTCCAAATCCAATTTGGAAGATAGAACATAATCGCTTGAAGTGCCAACACAATAGGTACCCATTGGTAGTATCCTATCTCAGCCTGGAAGTCTCAGCTTTATCGTATTTTTTTAGATTGCGATTCAAGAATTATTTTCTCATATTTTAAGAATCAAGGATCAAAATTACGCTAAGGATAGTACCATGACATCCTATATGGCATCACTTTTCATGGATCCGATAAAGGTCACTTTTACAAGAGATCATCAGAATGACACAGCCACGCAAGTACAAGTAACTTGCCACCATTGAGTACTAAACATATGTTCAGCTTCACAGGATCTGCTAGCCCTAGGGTTCTTCGATGCGCTCGGAACTTCTTCTCCCTAGCGTTAGTCCCGCGCAGTCGCAGGGTCCGCTGTCCTTGTTAGTCGTCGCCACTTTGTCCTGTCCAGCGCATCTTCTTGACCCGAGCCTTCACCGCCTGATCCACACTACCATCGGCTGCCAGATCGCTCCCAAGGTATCGGAAGTTTCGACTCTTTCACCATGGCCGTCCACGATCGGCTCTGCACCCTCTTCGGAGCTCAGGAACTTGGTCTTCTTGACATTCAGCCGGAGCCCACCTTCTGCCAGGACTTTCTGCCATTCCTGCACCTTGGTTGAAGTTAGCTATCGGCTATCAGGACGATGTCGCCAGCGTAGAGAATGGTCTGCAAAGCACTCAGAACGCATGTGCTCATTCTCGCCTTCAATTCAACTCCACATAATCCGACTACGGTGACATGGAAACAACAACATGCACATACATGTACTGTGTGCGCTCTCAAACGCAAATCACGGCGAAGCTCTAACGTCTATTTGAAGATGGAGTAGGGGGAGGGATTGTCCAGGCCAAACCACCAGAGCAAATCTTGTCTTAAGCTCTTGTGAGAGTGAAAAAAGGGGGAGGGGGCCGAGGGGAAGAGATGTATGTACAACTACATCAGGCCCAAGACATGTAGCGCAGCTATGGTCCCTGGAATGCCCAATATCGCCCGACACTTACGCTGACCTTTTTCTAATAATTACTTCATAGCAATGGATTATCCAATAGAACAGCTGGGTGCCTATAAATAGCGGTATTCTAGGTTCCCACATTGCCTCTCCACCTTTGTTAGGTGTAACCTAGGCGGAATCGCTCAGCAGAAACCACAGCTATGTACATGTGCAGCGAGGTGAGTGCTACTGACCAGGAAGGTCTATGGTCATGCCCCACTTTTGAAAAGCGGTTTTTGCAAATGCACGTCGGAATATTAAACACAGTTCTATGGTTTATTGTTTTTCAGTGACCTTCTGGGTGCCAAAAAATGATCTGAAAAAGTTCCTGCGCCATGCCTTTTTGACATCGGTTTTTGGCAAAAACCACTTATTTGGTACTGATGGTCCTGTTAGTAATATGGCATCCATTACTAGCCGTGGGTACCTTCTTTGAGACATCACGCAAGCGTCAATCGGGAATGCAAAAGTTTTTCACCACGGGGAACCGAACCATAAACCAATGTCTCATGGATTTTTTGTCGTTCGAAGAGTGCTCAGGAACAGTGAAGCATAGCTCCATGTTCCATGCACAGTCCCTATATGTATGATGCAAAAATCCGTTTTGAAAAAGCTGGGTTCGACCTGTGGGACCGTC